GTTCCCTTCGGGGTGCTTGTTTACCGTGAGTCCCCTTGCCTCTCACGATTCGGGGTGCTTGTTTACCGTGAGTCCCCTTGCCTCTCACGATTCGGGGTAAACAAGCACCCCGAATCGTGAGAGGCAAGGGGACTCACGGTAAACAAGCACCCCGAAGGGAACAGAATTCTACTACGTCCACGTTGTTGTACCTGGATACCGTTAAAAGTAGGATGATTCGTATTTCTCATGCATAACATACATAACTACAGAGATTTGAGTGAAAAGTTGATTTGACTTTCGAATGATACCTAACGATCAACTTAACCCATAACATGACATTGTACAAGATATTTTGTACTTTATGTCAAAGTACTGCAAAGTACTGCTTTGGAAGCTCATAATTCGAAAATTACTCAATGAAAAAATATTTTATTATAGTGTTTTGGAAAGCTCTCGAGATAACCTACAAGAATATGTAACGAGAAATAGTAGGTTCCATTTAAGAAATTAAAGGTAACCTTCATGTGACCCTCAAATTACTCTTCAAGGTCAAACCAATGGTACCATCTTATGTCCCCCTCGAAACTATACAACTTTGTCTGAAACATTTTTTTGTATCTGCCTTACCAACGGAGAAATTTGGGTGGGTCCCGTAAAATGGCCCACCCTGTATGTATATATAACCTCCATAGAACCTCCATCATTACTTCTAATGGAGGTCCAGTGGAGGTATTACAAGCGGACATTTTGACCATCAGTGGAGTCTTCGTGGACGTCACATGGACGTCCACTGGAAGTTCTGAATTTCCATGATGGATGTTCAGTGGACGTCCATTAGATGTTTTGCTCCATATGGGCGGGTGGAATGCCGCGGGAGGTGGTCCCGGAACACGAGGCGGGTCGAGGACGGAGGGGTCAAAATCTCCAGCCTCCGCGTACTCCTTGGCCATTCGCCACAGCTGCACTTTCCGTCTGCCGCGCCTGGACCGGCGACGTTTGCCCGTCTACAAATTTCCCGCGATATAAGGTATGCCTGGTGATGAATCGGAGACGGACCGGTAGGAAATTTTCCCGATTAAAATTTCTAGTGTCAAAGACTCTCGATGCGTAACGGCTAATCTCCCTTTTGTTTTAGAGAATCAAGGTCGACGCAACTATCCCGACGAACGTCAGGATTGGAGGGAAAACGGCAAGCTGTATTACGCTTCATGCCATGAACGTGGGCAGCGTGCGAGCCGTTTGGAGAAGACTTGCCCATGAACCGGGGGCGGTCAGAAGGAACGGCAGGCGACAGCTTAGACAGCGCTAGCCGACGAGGGGTGGGACGTGAGGAAGATCGTTGGAGAAATTCGCCGGGCTCATAAGGCAGTGCGCGGCTAATCAACAAAATGTCCGGTTTCCGATTTCGCTGGGTCTCAAGAGAAGAAAAGAAAATTTTGTAAATGAATAAAAAGAAAAATACTGCGGCTATGGATAATTGGTTTTAATGTCGCTCTGCGCGAAGTAAATACAAAAGTGGGAGGAGCCGCAATCTCCTCGAGTTCGAAGCACGCGAAAATAAGTCCGAATTGACGCGAATAATAAGCTAACTCACTTCGACAGATTATTCTATCGCGATGATCCGAATCGGAGTGCGAGTTTCGGCTCGGCGAGCCGTTCTTATATACCCCACGAGGGGTGGCAAAGTGAGGTACGGTGGTGAATGTATGGTGTTGTGTGTATTTAGTTAATTATACGATTAACCATTGAAGTTTTCGACGAAATTTTCCCTCGACTCGGGCCCGTGGCCGCGCAGAGCCACCCTTTGCGCGCGGCTACGCCGAGCTCCTTTAATTAATAGCACTAATCGGACTCCTCTTTTTATGCACGCGATTTCCCCGCCTGAGAGTCACTTCAGATTCACGTGGCAATCCCAAATTTGCCTTTGAAGGACCGCCAGGCGGGGACCGATGCATGGGAATCCGGTCAGCGCAGCGTTCTTTTAACGCTAAGTTCACCGCGTTGCCGCAGTTCACCGCGTTGCCGCATTGACAAAGTTTCATTTAGCCTCGTATAGATATTAATTCATATTAACGCTACGCGGGCCGCCCATGCGCGATCAGCCCCACGGTACCACGCGCCCTCCGCGTGCACGACGCTTGCCGGTGTCACAGTTGCGTTCTGTGAGGCGTGACAATATACATGGAATACAAAAGCAATTAAGTCTCGCGCAAATTACGATACAAATTCTATTATTATTAATTACATGTCTGTTGCTCTGGAGAAATAAATATAAAAAAAATAGTTGCGTCCGGGGCAGGACGTGACACATGAGTAGCAATAGTAGCAATACATGAGTAGCAATACATGAAATAATTCTAAATATTTTAAAATTAGTTTTATTTTTCGGAAGAAGTATTATAGATAACTAAAGAAAACAACACTAATTAAAATATAAATTATTTTTAATTCTCCTATAAGTAGTCTAACATTATCTTAGAAAGCAATTTCTCAAAATAAACATTATTTAAGTCTTATAAGTAGATCATAAAGATACTATCCATCAAAAGACACTCGTTTCAAAATAAAATCGTTCCCTTTCTCTGAATAAACTAGTAGTAGTAGTAGTAATGTTTATTTTCTCTGCTGAGAATTTACATTGGTGCTTTTTAAGGGAGCGTTCCCGAACCCTTTACACCTCTAATCCGTTCCCTCCTACCGCGACCTGGCCGTATGCGACCTTTACATGCTTTTTACCCCCCTCCCTTCGTCCTTCCCCCTAACCACACCCCTCCCTCTTCCGTTTCTCCTTTCTTTTCTTCTTCTCCGTCCTCCTTCCTTCCTATATCACTTTTCCTTCCTGTCTCCACCTGTCATCCTCTCCTTCTTCCCTTCCTTCCTGCGCCACCTTTCTCTCTTTCTTCCTCTTTGCTTCACCTCCAGCTCCTTCTTTCTCCCTACAACCAAATTCAAGTTAAGACACTTTACTCACTGACCTCTTCTTCACTTCTCCTCCCTTCCCTTTCCCCCCTGTCCATCTCCATTCCTTTCCATCCCCCACATCCTCCTATTCTCCACCCATACCCCCTTCCCTTTTCCCTTTCTATCCTTGCTCTCTCCATCATCCTCCATCTCGTTCTCCTCTCCTCCATACTAAGATCCTCATCTACATTTATTCCCCATTTTTTTCTTTATCCACTCCCTACCCTCTAATGTTTCATTCCTATCCCTCCTCTCCTTCATCTCTACTATCGCTACCACTCCCCCCCTCTCCCTGTCTTTCTATGATCTTTCCAACCTGTGCCTCCCTTCTTAGCCACTCCCTTATTGCCCTATTTATATTCCGCTCTCTCTCCTCCCTATCTTCTCCTTCTACCCCTCTCCATATCATCCTTCTTCTTCTTCTCTCTTCTCTTTCTCTCTCATATTTTGCTTCTCTCTCCTGCTCCTCTTCCTCCTCCTTCCACCATTCCGTCTCCTCCAGTTCTGCACTCTCCTTCCTACTTTCCTCCTTCTCTCTGCCCTTCCCTTCCCTCCTGACCTTTCCTATTTCTCTCTCCCCTCCCTTTTCCCTCCCCTGTGCTCTCTCCTTACCCTTTCTTGTTTCCCCTTTCCCTCCCTTCTCTAACAACTGTGACCTCTCTCTCCCCCTCCCCGAGCTTCTTCCATATCTCATCTCCCTCCCTTCCCTACACTGTCCTCCCGAGCTCTCCTGTCTCTCTTCCTCCTCTCCTTCGATATCGCTCCTTGATTTTCCTACCTCCTTCTCCAGTCCCCTCCCTTCCTCCTCTCTCTCTTTCCACTCCTGTCGTCTCCACTCTCCTTCTCGCTCTCCGCTGCACATTTCCTCCTTTCCTCCTTCGCTTTTCTTTCTCCTATTCTCTCACTCTCATCTCTCTCTTCTTCTCCTTCCTCTCCTCTTCCTCTCCTGCTCCTTATCCTTCTCTCTCTCTCTCTCTCTCTCTCTCCCTCTCTCGCTCTCTCTCTCTCTCTCTCTCTCTCTCCCCCTCCTTTTCTTCCGCGCTCTCCGCTCCTCCGCCTCCTCCGTTCACCC